CTCCAGCCATCCCTTCTCATCCTTCCCAGTGACGACCGAGGTTGACAGCCCCATAAGAAATGGACGAGATTGCTGCAGCACTCCCACATAGGAAGAGGAGATCTCCAAGTGTTAAAGCTGGTTAAAAGCATTGGGCCGCAGCCGCAGGGCTCGTTTGGAGTGGCTGAGCATTGTGTGGGGATGATGATCCCCAAAATGCCTTGGCACAGGCTCGTGGCTGTGGCAGCCAGTGTGGAAATGGCTGGAAATTCCCCTGCGTGGTCCCTGGGGAGTGTCTGTCCCTCTCTGTCTAGTAAAAAAATAGGTGTTAAACAGCTCGGCTGTATCTTGCTTGTGTTTCCTCCCCCAAGGGGGAGGCAGGCAGCATCCCCATCCCACCTCTCGATAACGTTGACTGCTCACTGCACCCAGCAGCATCCCAAAACCAACCCTCCTGCAAAGGTAGAGCCATTAACTTGTTTCTGGAGTCCCCCTGCTCCTCGCTTTGGTGGGTGCTGCCCTGAAATGCAGCGTTTGGGGTCCCTAACGTAGCCTGGCAAAAGAGGAGCTGGAGCACACGGTGGCTCTGGAAGAGGCCAAGCAGGGCACACACTCCAAGGCCATGCAGGAATGGCAGATGGTGTGACAGCAACAGCCAGGACACACTTTCACAGGAGGGGAAACTGAGGCATTGGCCAAGCCAAGCTGGACCCCCCACAGAGCCCCTGTGCCATGGTCTGGCACAGACCCCCTGGTCCCTGGCACCAATCAGCATGGAAAATTGGTTTAGGGAAGAAAAAAAAAAAAAAAAAAGGTACATTTTGAGCAAGTGTTGGCCAGCTTCAGCTGCAAATTCACTTGTCAGGAATATTGGAATTACTGGAGCTGGATGGCGTGAACATCTGTGCAACACAAACGCCGGGATAGGGAGGGGGGAGCGGAGCCGACTCGCCCACCAAGCCCCTGCAGCTGCCTGCGGGATGCTGGAGGAGGGCGGCTGTGGCCCAACACTTGCCCACCACCCACCTCCCAGTGCAAGAGGACCCCAGTGATCTCCCCAAAACGCTCCGGGGAGGAGGCTGCAACTCAGGGCACTCACCAGCCAGCTCAGCAGCTGCAAAATCCATCTGGGTGAATATTGGGGTAACTGGACTCCACGGCACAGGACAGGCATGGAGAGACTCCTCACATCCCCTGACCTCGACTCCCCTAATGTTTTGGGGTACAACAGGGCATTTCCATGACTTTCAGAACAGGCATGAACAGTGCCCAGCACTTCCCAACTCCCTCCCACATCAGCACCACTGCAGCTTCCAAAACCTGCCCTTTGATGCCCAAAATAACCCTCAGGCAGGAGCTAATCGGCCACTCAGGCATGAGCAGATTGGGTGCTCAGGTGCTGACTAATTGCTCAGGTGCTGGCTAATTGGCCACCCAAGCATGGCAATGGGGTGCTCAGGCGTGACCTAAATGGGTGCTCACATGTGAATTAGTTCTGTGCTGGGGTGTGAATTGGAACCCTAATGCCCAGGCACTCATGCGGGAAGCAACTGGGTGCAGAGAACTCATTATTTTTCCCAATGTACCCTTCTCAGAGGGGCTGGAAACAGGGATGTCCAGATTGCACCCCCACGTGTGCTTCGTTTTGAGGGGAGGAACGCAGACATTAGAGCAGGGTTGGGCCCGGGCCTAGGGACAACCCCTCTCCATCCTCCCTCTCCTGCAGATGCAACATCGCAAATAACAAACAGCTTTCAAAGCCTCCTCTCCCATTGATGTCACATCAATGCCAACAGAGATAAAAGCTGAGAGATCCAGAACCAGCGCTGGCTTTGCCGGGGAATATTAATTAGAGGGAAAGCCTCATTAGAGCAGCAAGGGTGGCCCCCGGCACTACCTCCCCACCACTGTGTGCCCCAGACCCCCGGAGGGGCACGATGGGTGTCAGCCCTCCTAGCTGCCTTGGTGGCTGAGCAATGAGATGCACTGCAGATCCCTCAATGTAAGCATTAAAATTTAAAATGTTGAAATGTTGTTTTTTTGTTTTATTAAAAAGAAGGAAAGGGAAAACCCGATTCTCTCTATCCATGGCTGCTGAGGCTTCCAGGCAAGCCCAGAGCCCCAGGCAGGGTGATAAAGCCCCCCTGTGCTCTCCAGAGCCTGATGGCAAATCCAAGTGTTTGTGGGGGGAAAAAGCAGCACATCTGTTATTTCATGCATTTTGGTCTGGTTTTTTGTTGGTTTTTTTTACAACTCTGCAGTTGGAGAGGAGCGGAGGATGCTGCCTGCTGCTACCCTGAGCCTCCCCACCGGTGGGGAAAGGGGATCCTGCGCTGCCCTGGGGTGAGTCCCTGGCAGCACCCACATCCGCTGCCAAAGGAAACATGGGAACGGGTCAGGAAAATGGATTTTTAAGAAGTGTCATGGGACTGCCGAGCACCAAGACCCCAACCCATCATCCTTCCGAGAGCCCAGGCTGGCTGGGCAGCACCCTGCCAGCACTGCCTCCTGTTCATCACCCCAGAACACACTTGCAGCAAATCAACGGCATTTGCAGTGAAATTAGTGGGTTAGTGACAGGAAAATAATGAGGAAGGAAGCATCACCGGGAGGGTTTAACCGTGGCATCCAACTGGCTCCTGCGGCCAGGCCCCTCTTTGGCATCACCCACAAATGAGGAACAGCACCCATGGGTGCCCTGGCACCCAGCCTGGCTTGGGGACACTGAGGGGACCAGCAAAGGGGGTGCTGCAGCTGAACTCAAACCAAAATGCCCATGGCCAAGGCCATAAAGCCAAAGGGCTGAAGCAGCTGAGCAGCCCCAAGGAGGGTGCAGAGAGTGCGGGGCTGCACAGGATGGGGCCACCGGCTCCCGCGCGGCAGCGAAGCAGAGGCGTCAGGAGGACCAAGATGCCACATTAGTTATTTATTACAGAGAACTTTTCTTCCTTTTTGTTTTGTTTTTTTCTGAGAGGTGACCCCAATTCATCTTGACAGAGGTTCACAGCACATTTTTGCCTGGCGGCTGCTTACAAAAACAGAGAAGCAAGATGGTGCAGGAGAAAAGCACCCTGTGCCTGTGCCACGGGGGGCTGGTGGGCACTCAAACAGGCTCAGCACAACACATCCAGCCCCATGCCACCTCCGGGATGGCTGCCGCACATGGACCTGGCTGGCCACAGGGCCGGAGACATCTGGGCTTCCCCACGGGTGCTCAGCACTGGCCCTGCTCTCCGAGGATGCTCTCCCGCACGGACACAGCACCAACTTGCTCTGAGTGCTCATAAGAACGGGTGTCAAATCAATCTTCGCAAAGATGCCAGGTTAAAAAAAAAAAAAAAAAAAAAAAAAAAAAAAAGAGGAAAGCAGCCAGCCATCTGCCCAAACGACAATTTTCAGCTGGATTTCCAGAAACACTTCAGCTTTTAAAACCGAGAGGAGAGAAAATAAAAACCCCTCCTCTTCCCCAAGCATAGAAAGCATTCACGAGATGAGGTGCAAAATTCCTCTTTGACTTCAAAGGCATTTCTCCTGGCTGGTTACCCCCAAATCCTGGCACAACCCATTGGAAAGCCGGCGGGCAGTGGGGCTCGGCGCCGCTTCGCTGCCAGATGACGGCATCCCGCCGGCCGGGGTGTGGGCTGCCATGGCGGGGCACCCCCAGGGTGTCAGAGGGGCGCTGAAAACTTGGTACTTGCCCGTTTGGAAGCAGGGAAGAGGAGGAGGGATGAAGGGAGGAAAAGGAGAACAGTTTATGCTGCAGCAAAGGGAGCTCGTGGGGTTGGCGACAGCATCCCGCTTCTGCCGGGGTTGTCCCCCGCTGCTCAGGGTGCAGAGGTGCCGTCCCCGCCACCAGCACCAGCAGGATGTGGCTGATCCCCCATTGAGGCTGGGCGAGATCCTCAGCCCAGCCTAAGCTTTTCCAGGTAAGTTCAGAGCAAACACCCCCCTCCTCAAACGCTGGCCTAAAGGTGTTTTTAGGTTTTTTTTTTTCTTGTGCTGTTACTGAAACCTTCTTCAAGCAAAGGCAGAGACCGTGCTGGAGCCCTGAGCACCCCCGCTGGCAGCACCCACCCAGAGGACCCAGCCCCAAAAGGCGCCTTCCCATCCACCAGCCCCTGCGTGCTCCGGCCCTCCCTGGCACAGAGCAGCTGCCAGCACCACTGCCCGCAGGCTCAGGGGTCCTCAGCCCCTTGGCTGCTGCCCTGGCAGGGTGGGCTGACTGCCCCAGCCAAGGCGGGTTGGACACATCCCTGCTTCCCATCCCCGCCAAGGACCCCCAGCCAGAGCAGTACCAGGTGCAGGCACCCACCCACAGCGAGTACAGCAGCCCCCCCAGACCCCCAAATCCTCAGCCCTGGCGCCTGCCCTTTCCAGCCACCCTCACCCTGGGGTAGCTCCCTACCTCCCCACGAGCCCCATCCTAGCGTGGATGCACACACTGGCCTTTCACAAAGAAAATAAAGCTTTGAAAAGTGTTTTGTCGAGCTGTACCAGGTCTCTGCAACCTTGGCAAAGCCAGGACAAGATGTTTAGCTGTTTGGAAGTGCTTAGGCTGGGTCTTGTGGCACATTTTCATCCACTGTGGTAAATCAGCAGATTTTTTGCATGCGCTGTATATTAACTTAATGTATGTTACAATCTACCCTGTAATGGAAAAATACCGTGGCTGTTGTAACGGCTAACACTTTCAAAAGCACTTGACTCCCAAGTCATCCAGGTGCTTTTGACAATGTTACCCTGGGTTGCTATAGGAACCCTAATAGTTTTCCCATCTGACTTCTCCATTAACGCTGGGATTTATATTTAATTTGTTTTTCTTTTCCTTGGCGAGGAGCGAGCACGTGTGCAGGGGGAAGAGGTGCTCCTCGGTGGGTGTCTCCTGGCCATGCCAAGACCAGCACTGGGGACTGGAGCCAGTTCTGCCGAGATGCTGCCAGAGCAGCAGCGCAAGCAGAGCCCGACCCGCAGCAGGCAGGGAAGGGCCCAGCCCCACCGTGCTGACAGGAACCATCCGGGAGGCTGTTGATGCCCAGGGTGGCTTTATTACGGGTCTTTCCCATGTTCCCAGGCTGGCCTGAAGGTCTGCCTCCCCCTCACCTTCCTGCAGGCCGTGGGGCCAAGGGGCTCAGGGGTAGAGCATCCCACGAAGCTCCTGGGGGGAGGTGATGGGCAGGGAGCAGGCGAAGTTGCTGCAGAGATAGGCGGTGGCTTTCCCGTTCTTCCTCTCCAGGGACGCAAGGAAAGGCAACTGGCGGTAGAGGAATCCAGCGCCGTCTCCATCTGCTAGCATAAGCACCTGCCAGAGAAGGAGCCATGAGAGCTGGAGAGCACAGCCAGCGCCAGCCAGCTAGTCCTGCCCTCCCTGCAGACAAGCCAAGTGCTGGCAGTGTCCCCCTGTGTGCTCCTCTAAAGTGGGGAGGGGACAGGGAGCCGGGGGACCCACACCAGCCCTCTGCCAGGGTCCCCATCGTGCCTGTGCCGGAGGCAGCGTGTGGCCCACACCACCCTAGCAGCTCTGCCTCCCTTTTCCACTGCAGACACGCAGTAGCTGGGGACAAAGCACAGGGACACGCACACTGAGAAGGGCTGCCTGAGCCCCGCCCCAGCTCCCTGGGGACACCCACCCAGCCCCGGGGCAGCCGCAGCCCCAGCATCAGCTGCAGCATCATGCCATCCCACCCTGCACCCAGCTCCTCCTGCCCTCCAAGCGCTTCCTAAAAAAAAATCAAGACACCAGCGAGCAGTGAGTCAGGGACAAGCAGTGAGTCGGGGGCTTTCCTGGCTGAGAAGGCAGCACCAGCCAGGGGTGATGACAGGCCTGCCGTGATAATTAGCTTTTCTGAAAGGGAAAATGTTTGTTAAAGCCTCAGGGCTTGTGGGCTAATCAGGGGAAAGCCAGGAGCTGGCACAGAGCCTGGTGCCAACACAGATGCAACGGGTGAGCAAAACACCGGGTGCTTCCCAAGGCCCAAGGCTCGGTGGCAGCATCCCACTGCTGGAGCACGTGGTTCTCCCTTGCCTGACTGGCCTCAGCCCCACACACGCACCCACTGTGGTGCCCACCGAGCACCAAACCACCCACCACGAGTTTGTGATGCTCACGCCAATGATGCCGAGGGATGCCAACACCCAACACTGCTGCCCGCAGCACACACATCTCCCACCGGTGTGCAGCATCCTCTGCCACTGGCCCCGGGGCAAGGGGCAAATTCAGCACTGACACCCAGCATGGACATCCATGAGCCTCACGCATGCCCAGCAGCAGCTGCCCTCACCCTGTGTCCCCAGGCTTTTGTTCTAGGTAACGGCTGCTGCAGTCCCATCCTGTCTCCTGTCCCCCCACATCTCCCACTCAGCCCCTGCCTTGACCCAGCTCTGGCTCAGCCCATCTCCTTGCCTGGCTTCTTCTCCCCCGCAACCTCCTCCCCCCTCGCCTTTGTCTGGAATTAATTCCAGGAGTGATTAATTACCAATTCACGTCCAATCTGAAATTCATTATTCATTTTTCTCACAAGCTCCCTAAGGTCCTCTTGCGGGGCCAGGATGAAGGCAAGCGGCAGGCTAGTGCTCTGCAGCTGAGGAGATAATGGGATCCTTCATAATTACCCTAAAGACCATTAACAGGGCAGGGATCCACACCAGGATCCAGCCCTGGAACACGGATCCAACCCTCTCCACTCCAGGCACCGGGAACCCCAGGGGAGCAGCCACCAGCATCACCCCTGGAGCACTCGCATCCCCGCGGCAGCTGCCTTGTGGCAAAGGGCTCCTGTGACCGCAGGGTCCATTTAAACCTGTGACCTCAATGCTGTTTTATCGTCAGCATCTCACTACAGCAAGGACTTCAATGTGAAGTTTGTAAGGAATTAATTACTGGAATGACCTAATTAATCGCGCTCCTGCAGACGAGCCTGGCCCCCAGCACCCTGCCAGCACTGAGGGAGCAGGGGCGGCAGGGGACACGGCGGTGACATTTCCCCAACTCCTTGGCAAAGCTGATTCCCAAAGCTGCCACATCCCCGGAGCGGGTGAGCTGGGGCTGCTCTGCCTCAGGCAGCTTCTCAGGGTGGGGAAGGAGAGCTGGGGAGCAGCTGGCGGGAGGCTGAAGGCGGGTGGGAAAAAGAGCACCCACATCTTCATGTGATGCAGCACAGAAAGCGGGATGGCTGTTGGGAAGCAGCAGGCTGCTCCCGAAGGCTGCATGACCTGGGCAGTGCGACTCTCCTCCCTTCTCTCCATCACCCCTGCAAGGTGAGGAGCCAGTGCTACTGCCAGAGATCAGGCTGTCCATGAGGAATGAGGGGGGCACGGGGGAAGCCCTGGCAGGATGGCTCAGGGGAAGCGTGGCTCTGCCCTCTCCCTGTCACCCTCCATTCCACACAGATGATGCTGAAGAGTCCCAACCACTCACTCTTGGCCCTGGTGACAGCAGGGAGAAGCAACCACCACGATGGGACACGCTGTCTGCTGGAGCAGCACAGGCAGCTCTGGTGGAAGCAATGAGGAGGAAGGTAGGCCGACGAAGCTCGAGGAGCTCAGCTCCTACCGCTCCTGCACACTCGTACTCAGGGAAGAGGAGACACGTGTCTGTGGGGCTGTGCCCCTCTGGCGAGAGAGCTTTCCCCTCCTGCCACGATCCTTCCTAGAGGAAACAAACCCAGGCTGCCAAACAGGACAGCTTCTGCTCCATCCCACCACTGCAACACCAGGAACACGCAAGGGCAGCCATGCACAGGGTGAGCAGGGGCTGCCCCCCCCCGCCTGCTGCCAGGCTCCAGCTGCAGCCCCCTGCACAGAGCCCAGGCGGGCACCGCTGTCCTCGGGCGGCTCCTGAGCACTCTGCGGCTGCACTCCCCCATGGAAATATCCATCCGGAGCACCCAGCCCTCCTCTTCCTCCCTCCTTCAGGGAAGGCAACAGCTTATGGGAGACAGACCTGCCCCTGCGGAGTGAGCATGCCCACCAGCCAGGCTTGTTACCAGCCTAGCAGGAGGGAACAAAACCGCATGGGAGAAGAAACGGCTGTGCTACTTGCTCTGCTCATGACCCCGAAGCTGTCAGCAGCATCCCCCGCCACAGCCCCTGGGCACTCGGGGGACCAACAGCTGAACCAGCTGTGGGGAGAGGGAGCAGGATATTAGCAGCAGCACTGGGCTCCCCGCTGCCACCAAGGCGCTTCCCATCCCTGCAAACTGGGTCACCCGCTGTAATCCTTCAAAGGGAGAGAGGAAGAACGTGGGAGCAGAGGCCTCACACGTGGCATGGGGACTGGCACGGCCGAGGGTGCCGCTGGATGGGAGATGGTGGAGGAAGGATGGAGAGCTGTGTCCCCAGCTTGTGCTCCTGCTGGGCATGCAAGCAGAGGGTCAGGGATGAAAATCTCCGTGGGCTGAGCTAACGTGAGGACAGAGCAGAGGATCCTGTGTGAACGGCTCAGCCCTCCCCAGCTCACCCCAGCTGGGGTTACAGAAGGAAACTGGCTCCCAACATGGTGCAGCTCAACGTGCCAGACCCTGGTACCCGGACCCCAACAGGCAGGGATGAATCCGGTCTAAAGGCCGAAATGCTGAGCCCCCTTGCCTGCAGCCCAGCTCTGCTTCCCTACGCTCAACAGCTTTGCCAAGGCAAGAGCCATCTGTCCCCAGGGCAGGGATGCTGCTGCCTGCCAAACAGCTCTGTCCTGAGGCACAGCCCCTCCGTGGGATGCACCCAGTTATGATCTCGAGAATGCAGACGAGCAAAATGAGGGGTAACCTTGTGTGCACCATGACAGCACAGCTGGGCGCAAAGCTTTTGGGAAAAGCCAGCCCCTCCCAGCCGGGGGTACCCACAGCTGGAGTGAAGAACTGCCTGGCTGCTTCCCAAGGATGCGAGGGTGGCTGCAGGCAGAAGGTGACCCAGACACGGGCTGGATCTTCACCAGGCATGACACATCCACACCGGGCATGACATCTGCACCGGAATGAAAGGTTTTCCCTTGAGAGAACAGCGCTGGGGACGCGGGGCTCAGGCTGAGAGCTGTGTAAACAGACAGCAGTGACAGCAGCCGCTGCTGCAGCCACTCCCCAGGCTGGGCTGGCAGCGCTCTGTGCCAGGGAGAGCGGTGCAGAGGCTCAGCCACGGCCCTGTTGGCTCTGCTTATGGATATGGAAAGGAGAGGATGCTTCCCGGAAGGGAGGCAGGACAGAGGAGGAGGAGGATGGGTGCTACAGCCACAATGGGAGAAAGGATGAGGGCACCGGCAATGCAGAAGGCAGCAGGGAGCGTGGCGGTAGCTGGTGAGGAGTGGCTACGCAGCAAGCAGGGGAGGGCAGGCAGGGCAGGCAGGACTGGCACCTCTACCTTGTTTGGACTGAAGATGGAGTGGATACAGCGCAGCATCTCTTTTGTGTCTTCTCCTTGGGGGTCCCCACAGATAATGACCTGTCCGGGGAGAGTGTGGATGGCAGGAGGGAGAAAGCAGAGTGCTGTGGCAGCACCCACACCACCGCCAAACCCCCTCCCTGCAGCGGGTCCCACAGGGGACACGAGCCCCAGCCCATACCTGTTTGAGGGTGTGATGGAAGACAGCAGTGGCCCGGGCCATCTCTGGCAGGGTGATGGGGATCTTCTGCAGCCTATCTGAAAAGGCGGCCAAGATCTGCCCGGCTTTCTCCACCCACTCCTTATGGCCGGAGTAACAAGCTGCTCGGAGCAGGTTTGTGACAGTGACAGAGTTGGCGGTGGGCTCTGCTCCATCTTGGTCTGCAAGGGACAACAGCTCCTCCATCAGCCCAATGCCTCCCCACCCCACGGCTTGGTCCCCAGCCCGGCATTGCCCCTGCCCTCCCCCAGCTGCCCCACACTGTAACCCACGCAGATCACGGCCGTGTCCCTGAGCTCACCTCCCTTCAGGCGCAGGAGCAGAGAGGGATCGCCAGCCTCGCTGGAGAAATATGCAAAGCCTTTGGGGTCCCAGAAGAGTTTGTCTTGCATGTGCTGGAGCTGCAGGGCCCACTCCAACCAGTCCTGCTCCAGGGAGGCTTCGTACAGGTCAAAAAGAGCCTGGATGACGAAGACATAATCCTCCAAAAAGCCCTGGATGGGCACAGCGCTGCAGAGGCAGACAGGGAAGGAGCATCAGGTCTCTACACTGGCCAGGTGGGAAATGTTCTCCAACTCAGCAAAGCTCGGGTCTCTGCTACCCGAGGAGATGCCACCTCAAGGCCCAGTCCAGGATAAGCTGTGGCTCTGCCAAGTCATCACACGGCTCAGCCCTGCGTTTCTGTGCAGCAAGGGAGGACAGGGGAAGACGCCTGCCAGCTTGGAAGTTAAGGAATGGGAAAGGAATTGACTTTAACTTCTCCTCACTGAGTGGTGGGCACTAATCCATCCCATACTGCACCAGAGGTAGTTCTGCTCAAGGCAAACAGCCTCCCTCCCCCCAAGTCTAGTCCTGCCTGGAGGAGAAGAGGACAGGGACCACTGGGGGGCCTGGGGTGCACCTGTGAGGTGGCCAGTTGGTCTGTGGACACTCTCTGTGCCACTGCTCACCTCTGCTCCACCGTGTTGTCTTTGCCCCGGTAGCAGCTCCGCAGCAACCTCCCACTGGTGGGGTCAAAGAGGTGTCTCCGCAGGAAGGCAGCTGCCTGCACAGCCCGGCTCACGTACTCCTGCTCGGCCAGGGCTGCCCCAGCCTGGGCAAAGCCCGAGATCATCAGCCCTGCGTAGGCACACACATGGGACAGGCTCAGGGGAGCACAAGGAACCAGTGGGGGTGTCACATCCTTTAAAGGATGCTCAGCATGAAGCTCATCCTCCCTCATTTTCAAGGCATGTCAGGGCTCAGTCATCAGCTCTTCCACTCAGTTCAGACCACTAAGAAAGTCACTTGCTGTCACCAAAAAGAAGGGCAGAGCGCTGCAAGGTCAGCAAGAGCTAAGCCTTCACTTGCAGACAGAAACAGGGCTTAAGAGAGTCTTCCTGTTTGCAGGACGTGGTATAACTCCAGCTCACGCCAGCTCCAGACCCAGCTACCTGGGCATTTACTGCTGGGAACAGTGCCTGGGGTACTGCAGTATTACCGGCTGCAGGACACCCGGACAGACAGACACAGAGCTGTGGTCCCCCCGCTAACGCAGCAGTGGAGATGGGCTCCACCCCCTGCCGGGGTCCCCAGTCCCCAACTCAGTTCCTTTCCCCAGAGCCCAAGTCGACGAGCCAGGCTGAGCCAGGGGAAGAGTTTTGCTGCTCTCTGCTGGCAACAGGGAAGGAAAACCAAACCAGAGCACTATCCTGATGCTCCGCAGCCCCACGGCTTCCAGGTGTGAGGCTGCTTCTCCCAGGCCCTGGATCCCAGCCCACCCACTGCCTCTGTGGGGGGCTGCCCAGTCCCAGCAGGATTAATTGCTACAAGCCCCCCAAAACACACTGGCCCGGGCAGCTGTGGAGGGGCCCAGACACGGCATGCACCCCCAGAGCTGAGCCACCTCTCACCGTTCCACGCCGCCAGCATCTTGGTGTCCAAGTGTGGCCGTGGCCGCTGTGCCCGGGCTGTGGACAGCCTCCGCCGGCATTCCCGCAGCAGGGCACCCAGCTGCCCCGGCTCCAGCCCGAACCGGGCCGCTGTCAGCTCTGGGGAGCTCCGCACAATAAGGACGTTCTTGCCCTTCAGCTCCTGATGGGGGTCCTAAAAGGAGAGCCCCGTTCTACAAACACCACCGGGCTGAGGAGGGTTTGAACCCCCCCATGTGCTTTGAGGCTGCTCTGCCATCGCCCCATGCCAAGGGGTGCAGGTTCCCCACCAATGCTTCCAGTACCAGATAGGTCTTTGCTCTCCCTCACCTTCATAGGGCTCACATTGCCTGTCTCCTTCACTCCATAGTGGTGCATGAAGACATCTCCCAGGGTCGTCCCCTCTGTGGCCCCCTCAACAGGGTCAGGAAGGAGAGCCCGGATTTCCTCAGCTGCCCACACACAGAAAGCTCCTTCTCGCTTCTCTTCAGATGTGATGCTCGGGTAGGAATCAGCATCTTCTGCACTGTAGAAACCTCCAGCCTGGGGAAAGAGCAACAGAAAGACCTTTCAGCTACTGGGACAGCACTTTCAGCCAGCTCCCCATTACTGCTGGGCAGGCAGTCCAGCCAGTGAGCCGCAGCAGTGCCCCAGACTGAGCTCAGCTGGGAAGGGAAGAGGGAAAAGCAGCCCTGAGACATGCCCCGGGGCAGGGTAATCGGCTCCCTTCAGCCCAGCTCAGGGAACAAACTACCTGGTCACTCAGGTCCCGTGAGACATAGAGCAGAATGTCTTGGGCGACATCAGAGAAGAATTCATCGCCAGAGATCTGCGGGAGGCACCGGGTGGACATTGATGTTACAAGTGGCAGGGAGGAGGCAAGAGACACAGCAAGGTATAATAAGAAATTCAGATTTAAATTGCTGGCAAAGGAGCGGCAACACATTTGAATGTCCAGGGATTTTAAACGTCGCATGGATTCATCTGACAGAAATCTCTGGGCACTGGAGAGCAACCCTGGAGTTACACCAATGTCAGAGGCAGCAGCATCTGTTTGCTGACTTGCAAAGACCAGCCAGGAGGCTGTTCCTCCCCTGTTACACTCAGAACCCTGGGGCTGTCTCGGATTTGTGCAGCGTTTCTGGATGAACACCAGTAGATGAAGGGGAGTATGAGACCACTCCATGCCTGTGGGATGGGCAACATCTTGGGGAACAGGCTTTGAAGCTGCTCCCCAAACCAAGCCAGCCCTTCGCACTCAGCACTCAGCGTGCCAAGTGAGCCCCCCCACAGAGGGATACCATGGCCAAACCTGAAACGCTCTGCTATACGTGGCTGCCAGCTGCCCCTGGTCGTACAGCATCTTCTCAAAGTGAGGAACATGCCAGTGCTGGTCGGTGGAGTAGCGGTGAAAACCCTGCAAAAACCAAGTGGACATGTCTCTACCCTATGTCTCCACCCCACGCCCCCTGAGCACACCAGGGGTTTACCCCTGAGACTTTCCTCCTACCTGGCAGATGTGGTCATGGATGCCCCCATGGGCCATCATCTTGAGAGTATGCAGAGCCATCTGCAGTGCCCGGGCACCTTCTGCAGTTGTTCGGTGCAAGGCCCAGTATGTGAAGAGGAAATTCAAATTCACTGAAATACAGGAGGAAAGTGGGAGGTTGTGGGGTGAGCTCTGCCTCCCCAGCACTGCCTGCCCCACGGTGGGGCTCAGCAGCAGAGACCTGACTGACCTGGGGTGGGGAATTTGGGGGATTCAGAGAAGCCACCGTAGTCCTCATCATAGGAGCTGGAGAGCTGCTGGAAACAGGTGGCCATCACCTCTTTGGATGGTGGGGGTGACTCCTGGCCCCGCACACAGATCTCAGACCTGTACAGCAATGCTTCCAGGATCTTCTGGCTGTTCTCCAACAGAGCATCTTTGTTCTCCTTCCACTAAGATGCAGAGTGAGAAAGTCAGTTCTTCCATCTTTTGCCTCTCTTTCTGCTTCCTGCACTGCACCAGTCCAAACTGCACCTTCAGTTCTCAGCACCCCTCCCCAGATCAGTTCAAATCCACCTCTAACCCAGCCAAAGCCCTGACATGTTCTCTGGGCTACTGTTTCTCGTGACTGTGTCTCTTAACTCCGTCACCCTTCAAGCCCAGGCCAATTTCCCTGCTGCCTCTTGTTGAGCCCTGCCTGCTACACCATTCCTGCTCCGTACCTGCTCTGCGATTCGGAGCAGCACGGTTCGAAAGCCAACGCGATGAACTCCATCTTCAGGGGGGAAGTATGTCCCCCCTACAAAGGGCTTGAGGTCTGGAGTCAGCCAGACGCTCATCGGCCAGCCACCCCCACCGCTGGTTGCCTGAAAGACAAATCACAGGTGCACCAAGGTCACGGAAGAGGCACCCTCTGCTCTGTACCCGTCACTTGAGGACAGACGTGTCCTTGTGATCATGGACGGCCCCATTCAGACCACCCCACATACTGGATCTTCTTGCCTGAGGAACGTGAACATGAACCTCATCCTGAGAAAGCCAGGCGAGCCTCCAGGGCTCTGCCTCTGCCTCCCTTACCTGCACGAAGGTCATGTACACTTTGTCCACATCTGGCCGCTCCTCACGATCCACTTTGATGCACACAAAGTTCTTGTTCATGATCTCCCCGATCTCCTTGTTCTTGAAGGACTCTTCCTCCATCACATGGCACCAGTGGCAGGTGGAGTAGCCAACTGAAAACAAGCTCAGGTGAGTGAGGAGAGGCCCTTTGCAGGGAGCAGGACACACATTATGGGGAGATTGCTCAGAGGTGGGGAACCCTGCTACAGGCCACAGCTGCTGCCCCCCTAAAGAGATGGAGGACAAAGGCCTCTTCTAAGCATGGAGGCTTGCAGGGCCTTCTGGCCACTCAGCTCTTGCTCCTAAAATCTGGCCAAGGACTCCGGTCCTTAATGCAGCCGTCTTCAGAGAGAGCTACTAAAGCACGCAGCCCTCTCTTGCTAGAGAAGAATTAGCGCTCAGTGTCCATCCTTACCCACGTGGCTACTCACACCCCAGCTCAGGACACAGCCTGGCTTACCTGCTCATGAACAACACATGGGAACATGAAATATGTCTTGTTTCTAGTTACCTGAAAGGAATATCAACTTGTTTTCTTTCTTTGCTTTATCAAAGGCTTCCTGACCCCAAGGGTACCTGTGGAGGGAAGACAAGAAAGGAGCTTCAAGGGTCACCGCTGCTGGGACCTGGGCTCCTCTAAAGCTGCCTGAGAAGCTGCTGCCTGGTGGAGATCAGTCAGGACAGCCAGGGGCACGGCTGGCCAGGAGTGCGGACCCCGAGCCTGCCGGGCAATGCACGGGAGGCCAGGCTGCTTCGCCCATCACTTCCACAGCAGCCAGTCCCTCAGCCCCACGGACACAAGGAGAGGAGGAGGGAGAAAGGCACCAGTCACTCTTACCAATCCACGGGGTTGTGAGCATGCTGCAGGAGGTACGGGGACTTCTCGTTAATCAGGCGGTTGGTGTGACAAGGGACGGGGGGGGGGGTTATTCCCCCCGTGGCCATGGTCACGCTCCCCCTTAGAAACGTGCACCTGCGACACCAAACAGGCTCATCGTTTCCTCGCTCGCCACAGCGAAGCAGAGCCCCTGGCGAGAGCCACGATGCCCCACGCCAGCACCACCTTCACCCCAGTTCCTCTGGGTGCCCACGCAGCCCTGGGACGGGGTGCGGCTCCCCTGCTCATCACCCCCCGTGCCAAGGGAACTTCTCTCAGCCCCACGCTGGGTGCCTCCACGGGGGCTCAGTCCACCTCCATCTCCCCCCCAGGACCCTGTGTAGTCCCCCCCCCGCTTGCTGGAGGCTCAGGCGAGGTTGTTCTCCTCGGACTCAGCACAGGCACGGCCCGGGGACCACCATCCCCAGGGCTCCCTCCCCTCCAACCCCCCACCAGCATCCTTTGGGGGCACAGCCACCCGACAGCCCTGCCCCAGGAAGCAGCATCTGTGGGATTGGACCTGTGTGTCCTCAGAGAGGAAAATCCCCTCCCGTGGGAGCAGGAGTAGGTGCGGGGTCAGGGTGCAGGCAGGGCAGCACAGGCTCTTCACAGCGAGGGGAGTGAGAGATAGGAGGGGACCAGAGAGACCCTCCTGCTGCTGGGTGGGATGCAGGAGGGGGTGCAGGGATGCAGGGCTGGGGCACAAGGATACAGGAAGGGATGCAGGGATACAGGAGGGGGTGCAGGGATTATGTAAAGTCATGCAAGAGATACAGGGATGCAGGGACAATTTAGGGGAACGCAGTGGGGATGCAGGAAGGATTTAGGGAGGATGCAGGGGATGCAGGGAAGATGTTGGGGGATACAGGAGGGGTGTAAGTGTGCAGAAAGGATTTAGGAGGGATTCAGGAGGGTGCGGGGATGTTTGGGGGAGATGCAGGAGGGGTACAGGGCGCTGCAGGGATGCAGGAGGATTTAGGGGAGGACGCGGGGACATCGGCGGCGTGCAGGGAGGGTTCAAGGGGGTGGCGGAGGAGGCAAAAGC